CATCAAAGTATATCACAGGAAATTTGGTTTAGAAAGGTACAGTAAGCAGCTTTTTCTTTCCATTTTTCTTGCACTTAACCTGTATCTAGTATTTCTGTGAAGCTGTTGTTTTTTTCTGACACTTTCTACTCAATACTTTTACACTTGGAAAGAAGAGGAAGCTCTTTGGTCAAGTATGAAGGGGTAAGATGGGGAGAAACTAAATTATTTCATGTCAGCAGATAGGTTCTTGCCTTTATGTAATAGCCAGTGTGTGACCTGAAGGCCAAATTTAGCTAATTGGAGTTCCAGGAAGTAGCCCTTGGCTCTTCATCTTTGTTCAGAAGACCATCTGATAAGCACACTCCCCTTGTGATCCATGTGGCATTCCACTTGGTACAAGTCTGAGCCCCTAGTCTAAGAACAAAATTAATCCCATTGCAGAATGGGATGTTGTCTGTGCTTGTGTTAAAGATCTATTTTGTGCAAAGAAAGTAGAGCAGCCTTCATTTGGACAGAGACTGCTGTTAAGAACAGTTCTGCCCTTGGCAAATTTTGAACTCATTTACATTCCTGAGTTCTGTTTTTCTGTGATAAATATGTATTTACGTTTTAAACTAAATACTGTTTGCCCCATCATTACAGCGTGTGATATATATCTTGGTTCCTTCTTTCCCTTATTTTCCAAAAAATAAATAAATAACACTGTTTCCATAATACATGTTTGTATTAATATCCATGAATCAAATTTTAATATTCAGTACTTTGTTAGGAGGGTTGGGGGGAAACCATTGTATGGTTCCTGGTAGGGGTTTAGAATAAAAAATAGCATGGAAACTCTCTACAGGGCCTGGGGAAAGGTAGCAAAAGTTAAAATTAGGACAGTTTTACTGGAGAAGAGTAGGGTCTGAAACTAATACACCTGTGTGTTATTAGCGTGTAAAAACATTGAAGTGTTCTCAAGCTCAGCGTCAAGTTCCATTTTGGAACAAATTTCGTATGCAGGTGATTACCTCAAGCCATAGGTTTTGGACCTAAAAGAGTAAGAGGATGTTATGAAAATACTGTCAGACCCTTATATAACATTGCTATACTTGTACTATATAGAGTGACAATTCGGGGCAAATCACTTTTGGTGTAAAAAAAAAAAAGTGCAAGAGTTGCATGTACTGTTTATTTCTGTTCCATTATGTAGGCATTGGTTATGTTTGATCAGCAGATGTAATTTTTGCAGTAGCCATGCTTAGATCACTGAGATTTCTTTAACTGGAACACAGTGGACACTATTGTGCAACTGCAGGAGAATTGGCTGATTCCTGCCAAGGAGGAGAAACAGGATGTTAGAAGTCTTGGTCCTTGCAGACTGCTGCTGAGCACAGGCCTAAGGAACATGTATTATAGCTGGCTCTGTAATTGCAATGCATGCAGGTGCTGGCATCTGGAAACAGCAGCAGAAACTGATTTAAAACTCTCTTGGAGACAGCAGGGTTCTGTGAGGCATACAAAAACACTATAGTAGCATGGTGGTTTCATCACTCAAATGAGTAAAGTGTGTAAAATGTAGCGCTTTCAGAGACCCTTCCTTCCTGATGAGAAGGTATGCTTGCTTACAGATTTTCTAGAATTTGTCTGTTATTCTATATACTTACTCCAACCAACTACTCAAGCCTGAATAATAGGGAAGAAGGTAGTAGCCACATCTCTGGTGTCTTGCACTATTCTTCCTCCTGGATCACCCGCTAGAAGACACTGATGCACCTCAAATTTTTGGTTGACTAAGGTGTTTTGCAGCCTGTTGCAATAGACTGCTCTTGTCTGGAATTAACATTGCTACTTTTTGTGACCATCTTCTAGAATTAATTGACTGCTGCAACTTCATGGCAGAATATTGTATCAAATTCTATTGGTTTGTTATTGCAATATGTCATTGGGTATGCTTGTACAGCATATTGTAGTGCTGTGTAGTTCAACTTGAGCTTGTTCTGAACAACAGGTTCATACCAACTTAGGATATCAGGTGCCACATTTGTGTGGTACTTTGCTTGACCTAATGTACTGTGCTTCTCAGCAGGGCTAATTAGGTAGGGGAAACTGTGCTGCTTTTAGTAGTTGAGTTACCATAAGTATCTCTATATGCACACCATTGTTCTGTGCTGACATACTGTATTTGCTGGTATGGGCACTGTGATGGGCCAATAGGGGGTGGTCCTAAGTTGAGCCACCCGCCTCACTGCACCCGACCACCATCCAGGCTCTGAGTGGCTCCCTGGTAGAGCTTCACGTCTGGCCAACCCCCTTCCTGGAGCACACCCGCAAGCCTGGGGGTAATGCTGCCACCATCCAGTCTGAACTAATCTTGGTCCTGGGCCCCCTGGGAAACACAGGCATAGTAGTCCTTGAGGGGTGCTCAACCCACTGCAAGAACTTGGGGTGCTTCCCTAAGTCTGAAGCACAAATAGTGGTCTCTCTTAGTCAGCTGAACCAAGGGGACCTAAGGCATAATCTAGACCCTCTCCCAAAAAGTCTGCCATCCTAGGTACAGAGGAGAACTTTGATTACCAGGAGTAGGTTTGGAATGGGGTACAGGGTAGAGCACTATCAGAGAAATACCTTAGAGCAAACAGTGGCATGGTAGCCTTTGATCACACATCTGAGTTACTGCAAGCTATATATCTAGTTAGATCTCAAGTAGCTTACTCACAAGTATCATCCAGAGGCAGGAGGAGATTCCCGCTGGAGGTAAGCAGTTCATTGACCATGAATTTCAAGAGAGAGAGTGACTTTTATGGTCCAGCTTCTCTGAAAGTTCTCATCATGGATGCTGTCCCACCTCCTGGGCAGTCCTTAACTTGTATACAACTTATGACCTCATTTACCTGATCCAATGAAGGCCAGCAACTGTTACCTGCCAGCCAACTAATTTGAAATGCATCACTGGTTGCTGGGTAGACTGGCAGGGTCGTTAGCCCCCAACCCAGTCCTGATGACATTGCTTAGATTACAGGGGCGGGCAATTATTTTGGACGGAGGGCTGCTTACTGAGTTTTGGCAAGCCATTGAGGGCTGCATGACAGGCAGGCAGGGGCCGATAAATATTAATTTTCTAAAATTTTTAGGGGCCCACAGGCCAGATAGAAGGGCCTGGTGGGCTGCATCTTGCCTGTGGGCCGCAGTTTGCCCACCCCTGGCTTAGAACAATGGAGAGCTGAAGCCCCCACTCAGATGTGTGAGGCCAGTCACATAGGCAAAGGGAGCAGGTTTCCCCCTCCCTCAGGAATGTATCCAGCTCAGGTTACAACTCAGGGTTACCTGAAGCTAATGGAGCCAGGGGTGTCTGCCCTCTGCAGGGACCATGGTAACCAAATTGTCAGATTGGTTATCTGCCTGATAGCAGAGTTTGGCAAAAGACAGAGATGGCATTCTGCCACAGGCAGATCCTGCCAAAACTACTTTGGTAAAGACATGTTCTGAGCAGACCTGAGCATGATATTGAGAGGATAGCTCTTGTGACAGCAATTGAGAGAGAGAAACACTGGACATGATATATGAACTGTCTATCATTGTTCAGTCTACTTGACAGCAAGTTGTCGCAGAAATTTGTAAAAGTCACTGACACTAAATAGTAAATGGCAAAGAAGAGAAGAGGAATCATTGCATTGTGTTACAGGATTTGATGCAGCAGCACAACATCACAGCACAATTATTGCACAGCCTTCTCGCATAATTTCTGCTTGTGGTATGTTGAATGGCCCTAGCAACACTGGGAGAGCTTTGAACATCCTGGATGGATAATGATTCTCACCAAGATTCCAACATGTGTTTCTCCAGGTTGCTCTGAGCTGTGGGTGACACTTCATGTTGAAGATGAAGACAGCTTCAGCATGCTTTGTTTTGTCCAATTTAAATTAAATCCTTGAGCAACTGACAAATTGCCAGTGTAGCCCAAGGTTGTGTAACTTTTGAGCATTCTTGTATTCTTCCCCTTGTAGAAACTTAATCCTGGGATTGGCAGTTAGGAGGGCTATTTTATATTATCATAAAACCTATCTGTTTTCTTTGTGCTTTTGTTTTCTGTGCTTTAGTGTGAGCAGTCTCATCTCATGAGAGAGCACGAAGATGTACAAGAACGAACGACGCTGCGCTATGAAGAACGAATCACGGAGCTTCACAGCATTATTGCAGAGTTAAATAAGAAGATTGATCGACTACAAGGAACAACAATAAGGTATTCCAGCTTCCTGGGAAGTCTGGCCCAAATTCTTGTCACACATAGTATAAAGTACATGCTGGGCCTGAGTTGGTCATAAAGTTGGTGCAGTTACATGTGATATAATAGGTATTCAGAGGGCATGGAGGATTGGAACATGTGTGCTAGGCTGTTGCAAAGTGGGTAGCCCTAACAGGAAAAGAAACTAATAGGAGTGTGCCAGGGAAAGCAGCCAATCCTTTCTTTTAACTTTCTCCAGTGCTATGCGCAGTAGGACTTTAAACCAAATTCATCTTGATATAGAAGCCCAGTTCAAATGTAGTACACTTGCTTGTATCTGTGATCCTTCCCTTCCCCACTCAGGCTGCATATCAGGAGAGGGAAGCCCTGTGTGCTGGAGCTGGCTGCCTTCCCCAGCCCCGAGGGAAGGTGGCCAGGGCTTCCCTCCCCTGCCATGCAGCCCTGGCAGGGAAGGCGACTGGCTCCAGCGCACGCAGCTTCCCTCCCATGCTGTGCGAGTGTGAGGAGCACTGGCAATAGAGACTGTCCAGCAGGGGTCTGCACTCCTTGCTGCAATGTGCAGTGCTGGCCAGGGCTGCACCCCGCTGGGCACAAGAGCCCTGAGCACCCCTGCCTGTGGCTGCTGCACCATGGGGAGAGTACAGGGGCAGGGTCTACACTC